CTCAGTGCCCGGGAGCCCCAGATCATGAACCGGAACCCAAGGCGAACTGGGGAGGTTGGGATGGCTTGGGGTAGCTTCAACGTCATCAGCCTTAATGTATGCAACAAATAAAATTCACACAAAATTGAATTAGACTTAATAAACACGAATGCCGTGGGACGTAGCAGAGGAAATGGGACCGGGTGAAGGCACAAAGGACGCAGCTGAAAATCAACCGGAAACAAGGAGCAGTACCCGGAGAAGACGAAGACGAAGGCGACGCGGAGGATGATGAAGTAGGAGGACAAGTTCAAGTTGTCTAGGACGTAATAGAGAAGCAGTGCCAGGGCAGATTCATAAAACACGCAACGCGCGCTTTACGCGTGAGTGAGTTCGGGAAATGGGAAGGGAAAATGGGTAGGGAAAAGCGGGGAAACAGCGGAAACACGAGCAAACAACCAGCACAGCAAAGAGGCGGGGGCAACGGGGAAAACGGCACTGCGACACGGTGAAAAATGTTAAAAAGAAAACGGAAAGAAAAATCACAAACAGCATTCCTGGCATTCCGAAGACTGAGACCGAGACCCAGAAGACCGAACTCACAGCACGCCAGGAATCCCAGAACGACCAGAGCTGGAGCAAAACTTTTCTTTGCCCAGCCAATATACGAGGGTCTGTCGAACTTTGAGATTTTGAAAAACATATATACTACGCATACGTCACGTTGTCCCAGCCCAGGCCACACACATGACTAATGGGCAGCTGGAAAAGCTGACAATCAGATCAGCCCACTCGCATCTGGCCTAATGAGCACATCTCCGTCTCCGGCATAACCTACTTTGTTTCATATCATCCGAGAGGCCAACGTCAGCGGACAGCAAAGTGGGCATAATTTGATTAGGCCTCTCGTCAGCACACTCCAGCACCAGCGCCTTCATGTATACGGCTTCCTTTGACGGCATTCCGGCGATGCCGCCTCACGGCTTCAAACTTTCTCAAAGTGTAGCGACCTGGGAGTGAGCAGCACGCCGCGCCTTCAAAAGGCCGCCAGCCATTGACAGAAAGCCAACAAATTGACGGACAGAAGGACTGCCAGACTTCCAGACCGGCGGACAGGCCAGCTGGCAAGCTGGCAAAAAATTGCGTTCGCAGGAGTTGCCACGGCCGCTGGAAGAGATATGAAATAAATTGCGGAATGCCAACAAATAAAAATGTACAAGTGTAGGCACAAAAACCCTCCAGCCTCCAGCCTCGAAACGAACCCACATCGACCCGACCCGTCTTCCTGGACACGCCCCCATCCTAGGGCAGCATTTCCCTCGTCAAGGACGACAGAGCCGGGACGATTATAAAGAGATTTGTGTGTCTGCGTCGGTCTATGTCGGTTGAAGTTTCCCCCGCAGATTGGCGGTGGAGGAACGAAAGACCCGAGGAGCCTGGGTAACGAACCCGAGTCGCAGGGACAAAAGACAGCAAGCGGAGCAGCTTCTGATGAGGCGCTGATGACTGTCATCATAATCTCGATTAACATAATAATACGCGTAATCTTTATCGGCCCTGATGATGCGCCCGATGGCTTCCATGCCTCCTGGCCACGTGACTGCCTAATTTTATCCTTCGGCCCCCAAATTGCCTATCACGTTGCCGATCGGATTTCTTTTTTATTTCTAGCAGGCGATTCGAAATTAATTGCTTTATCAGCCCATAAAAGCTGGTCAGATTTGTCATGTTAGAGGCTGGGGACGTGGGGGGCAGGCCGCGGTCTGCAATCGATTTTTGAATAACACTTAGCCACTTTAAATGCTTAAAAGCCGAACGATGAAAAACGACCTCAATTTGATATTATCAACGCTGCTGCCGCCGCGGCTGAAGAACCGAAAAAAATGGCAGCTAACTTTTAGAAAATCCACTTGGGCCGTGCTGCAGATTCTGAGGAGGTTGAGGGGATTGACGGGCATACAAACTTATTGATTGCTCTGCCTCAGAGCCTGCCACGTGGTATTTGGAATGGAAAACGGGCGAAATGGCAACAACAAGGGGCAGCGGCAGCCTGCCGGTTGGCGGAAGTTTAGCCGAGATTGTCAATAGAACCAGCGCGTGGATTGGAGGACCCACATACATACCCGCACTCCTATGAATATTGTGAGAGATTCACCGAGGCATATGCTGATGGCGTTTCATATTTTCCCACACATATCCAGCACCCTTTCGACTGCTCCGGCATGAGGACTCATGAGGACAGGGATTTGGGGAGAGGCACTAGGGCACTTTTTCCCCATCTGAGCTAAGCGATGACAGGCGTCTATGGACTTGCAGGATATTCCGTCTTCATTTAGTGTTTCGATTGGCCTCACTGAGTCTGACACTTTGAAATTGAACCGGGCTAGGTTTTGGTAAGAGTGCTGGTGGAGCAGCAGCGGCTGCTGCGGTGAGTTATGCACTTGGCATGCCCCAACCACCCAGTTTGTCTTCGCCTCTGTTTTGGCCTTGTCTTTAGTTTTGATTTTCCACTTGATCGAGTGCAAACTTGGGGCTGCTTCCCCGATCCCCTGCTCACTCAGGCGTGCTATCAAATTATAATTTATAAACAATTTCGACGTGAGTATGCATTGTTGTTAATGTGACTGAATAGCGCACGTTAATTAGGTTGCAGTGCAAAGAGCCAGAAAGGCTCCGCCCTGACCGCTTTGGTCCTGCAAATGTCGGTGTCCTAGATTAATTTCCCGTTTGAAGGGAAGGTTTCTTCAAATCGCTGTGCAATTAAAGTGAATTGCTCTACATAAATATATAAATATGCTGAGCTCGGGCGCACTTGGCATACTTTATTTTTACCCATTATAACCATTATATAATTCAGCTGAAGAGCGTGCCACAAACACGTTCCACCCTTTCCATTTCTTTATATTTCGAGCCATGTTTCGCAGTAGTAGAAAGCAAAATGGGCATTTGTCTCAAAAGTTAAAATTGCTTTTAATATAATGCGATTTCTGTTTGCTTTGGCATGGCTCGCATTCCTCGAATGCTTCTCAGTTTGGTTGGCCAGCATTTGATGGTCATCAAGTGCCTTCAAACGTATCCCATCTCTCGGCTTGTTGAGACAATTTTGTACAATAAAATTTCAATAAAGCTGGTAAAAAGGGGCACTCGAAGCGGTAGCGGCCAGGCGAAAACAAAAAAAAAAGGAAAATCCGTCGGACCATAAAATCAGCACAAACCCAAACACACATCCCCATCGAGATGATAATCGAGGCCAAAGAGTGGAGGACAACAAACATGGTGCAGCACTTTAATCAAATGAGACCGCAGCATCAAGAGGCTGTTCACCCACAAGTATTCCGGCCGAGTGTGTGCTAAAATTTCAATGAAGCCATTGGCGGGCCGAGGGGCCCAGAAGTGCTGTCCGGAAAAAGAGCAGAAACTATTAAAGTAAGTGGAAATGGAGGCATTAAGGCGGAAACACGAGCTCACACGTTGGGACATGGGACCGTTGTCAGGCCAAGTGGAAGCTTTGAACCTTTTATGTGCTTTTAATTTTAATACAACAAAGAGGCAAGAAACAAAACAGTTTTCCAGGCATTCAGTCCTGCCATTTCACCGGCATTTAGTTGCCACTTTGGCTGCCATCCACCCCTTTCTCTCGCCTCGTGTGCATTTTCAATTTGCGCTTTGCATACGGATTGCAACTCACGCCAGCTGGTGGCTTTCTCAGGGATAAGCCTGTGCGTACCACAGTGCGTATGGGTGATGCGAAAATACAGCAGCCACCTTCTTTAAAGGTGTCAAGTGCAACTGCCAGAGAGCTCTCTACCATGCCGAAAGTATGGGGAACCTCTTTGCCCAGGCAAAGGCATTCAGTTTATCAATTATGCGAGTCAGATGTAATTAATAGTCTTCACAGACAAGCCGCCTCCCAGGGACCCTTGTCCATGACAAACGGCAGCGAATGTGGTGGGATTTGCGACACAGGGCCTGACTTTAATATCAACTCGATCGGGTCGACACACACACAGCGGAGCAGTGCAAACTATGGTAAATGCCAACGCACTTCTGGCATCCGGTCTAGACTTCATTATGACATAGTGTGCGCCCGAGTCGAGTCCCCGAGGCGCTACGCAGCTGGCCCTACTTAAGATACAATAAAAAGCAGGCATACCTTTGGGGCTCTGCGTGTGTGCGAGTGTGTGTGTTTTATCCCCCATTCGCAGTTTGCCAGCAAAAACGTTTAATCTAGCATAAACATATGGAACATAAGCATTTACATGCGACTGTATACACACATTAAGGGCTGAAGGCGTCAGGTGAGTATTAGCATCTCCGTCCCTTAACAACGGCCTTAAGAGTCAAACTCGACTGGGCTTTAAACGTGAAAGTAATTATGCAATCTCAGAGGGAGTTAGGCAAACAGTTACCTTGCTTTCGATTACCAAGAACTCCCGCACAGAAATGGAATATATGAAGCTTATTTTTTCTTGTTCACAAGAAAAAATACGAGGAAAAACATTCGAAAAAAAAACAATTAGGCGAATGAATTTTATAAAAGGAGATGTATAGGATAGGAAATATGAATCCAAATGAAAGATGCGATTTTAGCAACGTGAGGTATTCCTTGAAATTCTAAGTTAAAGCTTCTTTTCTCCGTATTCTGGTACTTCTAAGATTACTTTTTGAATTTTAGCTGTCAGGGAACTCTTCGGAACCAACAGAATTTTTTTATCATTCCGTTTTCTCTCTTTAACAATAAAAAAATGGGAAAAAAGCATACAATTTGGGAAAATATTAGGCTGATGTACATTTTGCTGTCTGTTCAATATTAATTACCCAAGCAAATAAAATGTTATTTCATAAATATCCTAATAAAACGTATAGCTATAGTTTTGTTTCGAAAGACGTACTTTCCAACAAACCAAGGTGGATTGGGCTGGTAATGCTGTCCAATATAAATACATAAAATAAAATTTGTAAGCCGAAATAGGCCTGAGGTAAAAAATCCAATATTTATAATTTTTTGGCTTTGCTTACACTGCTAGCTTCATATATTCCAAAAATCAAAGTAAAAGCTGTAACAACGAAATTTGTAACAAGATTTTAAGCATTGGTTATTCAACACACATTTGATGTCTAAAATGGCTTAAAATCCCCAACCAGTGCAAAAGAAGTCCATTGATAACCATAGTAAAGTAAAAAGGTAAAATTCCCATAAAGCAGTTTTCTGATGAGATGAAAAAACATGGTAAAATCCGATTACGGTCCCACCAATCCAGTTCACAAATGGATTGGGTATTGCCACCGGGTGCTTTTTCCACCTTCTATTTATTTGACAAATTTAGAATTTATGATGGACCGACACCAGTGGATGTTCTAGGGGTTCCTGAGGGATGCTTGCTTTCTGGCATGTGCGAGCTGTACAATCGTAATAAAAATGCACAACATGGCACAGCTCCTCCTCCGGACGGGACACACAAAAGGCAGATCTGAGGACGACTTAGAGCTTACTTAGACATGTTAACTGCTGCGAGGACTCTTTGTCTCTACACCTAAAAAAAAAAAGGAGGACAGAGCGAAACTTGCGGCGGCTACAAATTTAATGCGCTTACGATAAATTTTTATTATGCCAGCGAATGCTGCCGTTAAAATTGGATATTGAAGACCCCACCTAGGGATGGATGTGCGGAGTAGGAGCAGTAGCAGGAGCAGGAGCAGGAGCAGGAGCAGGAGGGTGAGGATGCGGCAGGATAGCTTGCGAAAAATTTGAATTTTCCGCCATAATCGTAACTTGTCCCCGTTGGCAGGCACTTTAAAGTCTTTACTTTTGCACTTGCACTCAGTACGTGCCTTGTTTTTTTGCCCTTGTTTATGCCTTAATGTGTCCATTAAATGCAGGACTTGGTGGCCAGGCTGTGGGCTCTCGAAATGACCACGTTTCTTACTAGGTCACTGGGATTTGCTGGGCGGGCTTACCTGGCGTATACTTAATCACTCCGAAATAACGTCGAATCGGTTGGAAACTGCAAGTCGGCACGTGAGATTGATTAAATTTCTGATTTATGTTCTCCGGAATCACCACACACAAAGGCCACAAACACTTTCTCGGATCACCACCGACCGAAGGAGCACAGAAGTAACAGTCGCCACTGACACCTCTTTCAAACCAATAATCCGTCGTTAATGAGTCTCTGGGTTTCCGATGAGGACCGCGTGCGTTGCTATCATGCTGGGAACTGTTTGGCTGCCAGCGTGGAAGGTGGCTTTTATAGACCCAACAGGCCTCGACCGTTTGCCGCCAAGGCATTCAAAACACAACGTGTTGCAGGTCGTGGTTGCGACCAAAACAAACCTTCCAGCGTCAAAGGACGCAGGCGTCGTCAGGACAAAGCTGAGGTCCTTGCTGCCACTAGCCGGGTTGTGAACCAGAGCTTTTGTCTGCGGTCCGACTCGAGGGCTACCCCTCGAACCTGCTGGAAAGGTTGAACGGTTGGTAATACTTCCTCTGACAGTTCAATTTGAACAATTTGCCTAAATTGGCATCTAATTACGGATGGCCTGTCTTGGCGAAAACTTCAGTTTCGTATTGCTATGGCTCTGAGAATATTTTGATCTAGATACGCCATACAAATCCCACACTTGACCATCGGATAAACTCTTTCACCTGAGTAAATTTCATGCCCCCATGTCCCCAGAGCAAAACACTAAAGCCCCATTTGTTTGAACACGCACCTCAGATGGGAATTAAATCTGATGAGAGGCGAAGAGCACCTCATGTCAGGCAGAGATTTTCATTTAGATGCTTGCGGTTGCCTCGGCAAATATTGGCATACAAATGTTAATTATCCACAGAGCACACTTACACTGCCAAAAGGCGAGCGAGGACCTGAGGCGGCCGACAGGGCGTATGCTTGATAATTGTCAGCCATGCTTTGTTTACCCGCCAGCAACTCCTTAATATTCAATAGCATGTATTAAATTTAAAGTGTTAACAAACGTTTGCACTTTCCATCGCCCCGAGCTGAGAACCTCATACCTGCTGTAATCGTAACAAAAAAAGGGACATCCGTCTCGCCATGTTCTTGGCAACCGAGAGGACGAGACAGGTCGGTTGACCGACTGGCAGGCATGCCGATGCCCCCGTCCAGCTTACATACCCAAGTATTTCATTAACCTGCCTCGTCCAGATACGCACACTGGCAGCTGCTGTCTGCGTGAAGAGCGTTAACTTGTTTGCCCGGAACAGTCAGTCCTGTTGGCCCCTTCCTTTGTGTGCTGTGTGCTGTGCGTGGCCAGGACGAGCTTTAAATTGTGTCCAGTGTGCATTGGAGCGAACTGGGGATTTACCATTTTTGTGGTACCCCACCGCTCCACCGGTGGGGAGGGGCCAGCTTTCAAACACCTTCGGCGGAATATTGCACCTGGCCAGAGCACCAACAATGGGGATCCCTTTCAATCGGAGTTCAACGTGCATAAACACAATATGCAACTTAGCAACCTTCGAAATTAAATGCCAATTGCAAAAATGCAATATACAGAACACAGAGTGCGATACAGGAAAACCAAGGCAACCGACGCAATCAAAAATGGGTCTGCCACCCACAGTCAGTTAGGGAGAGAGCCCTTTTCAGTGGGAAACGTGCGCATGACATAATTCCTTAATTACCAAAGTTGTCAGACGCACTTAAAAGTGAGTTACAATTACAGTTTTGCCCCTACAATTGTCTGCTGCAGTATGCAGGATGCAGAATAATCGTTTGGACCCCGCCACCTGCGGAGAGGCAATAACGTGTGACTGGCACAGACTTTTATAAAAGAAAGGGAGAAAGTACATTAAACCTGAACTTTTAACAGTCAAAGAGGCGGGCACATAAGTTGACAACCATTCAGAGTCCGGCAATGCAGCTATGAAAATTTTCAAAAATGTAAACTTGGCAAAGACAAGTAATCAAAACTAAATAAATACATTTATTCATTTCAACATGAATATTTTACTGTATTGACGATTACATTAACCATATAAAGTTCTCACAGTTACTTTACAGTAAGTTACAGTGAGCGAAGCAACAACTAAGAACTTTGTAAAAGTAGGCAACAACAAAGGAGTTATGAAATGTGCTAAGCAAAACTCTTACTTCGTAAAAATAAAATAAAATTTGTATACCCCTGCAGAGTTTATTAGATTTTAAGCCGTATTGGCAAACAAACGAGGTAAGAAAGTGGAAGCAATATCCAATTTCCGCTTATTCGATATACAAAACTTCGGATATCAAATTTTGTAACGAAAAATGTTAATATCTATGTATTAATTAAAAAATAGTTTGAGCTATGGTGACCTCGAGTTATACAATTGATTTTGTTTTGGTTTAGATTTCGAGTGAAAACAACCTTTTAAGTTTCCCATGAATACAATTTTCCCCAAGTGGGTGAGCATCCAAAACTGCCAAAACTACCAAATCGATTGCTCTGAAGTTTCGTACACATTGTTATACATAACTCAACAGATAATCACAAAGCGTTTTCATATTCGTTTTTCTTAATTAAATTAATGATTTCCATGAAATTTCAAAAGATGTTCACCGAAAACCACCTTTTTTCGAAGGGGCGTCAAAGAGTGGCTGCCACACCCCAGTGCCAAAAATATTGGAGGACATCGGCTTGCCGAAGTTTGGTTCCCTTCTTGTTAATATATATGTTAAACAAGAAGGAGCTATCTTTGGTAAGCGGATGTTAATATATCCTTGCACCTTAAGAAAAATGAGTTGCCCAATAATCTTACAATAATTTTGTACGTTTATGATAGATAGGAATATATGTATGCTAACTTCGTTTTTCAAATAAGAAAAATCGAAAAATCAATTTTATGAACATTAATTGAAAACAAGTTTGTTTAAACTTTTGAATAAATTGATTGATTATTATATCTTGTGGCTGCTATATGATGTAGTTTCTTAGTTACTAAAGCTTGAGTTTTATGCGTATTCGTTCGAAAACAACGAAGTTTAGCATAACTTTTTATAAAAAGCATCCGGACTCGGTTCCGATAATAAAAATAAGTCTTTTGGCAAAGCTTCAACTAGCTTTTAAACCGAAAGCCAACTTAAAAATTAACAGTATAGATCAACTCGTCTGATGCTCCTAATCAAGAATATATTATATTATTGCTATTTTCAATAAGTTCTCCGTTGCTTTTTATGAATTAATTACAGTTAAGGCAGTAAAAGTTAATTCGCTTTTACAAAAACCATAATGTTAATCCACGCTAGGACCTTATTGCGAAAGGGATTTGTTAGTTTTCGGAAGTAAATGGTCCCTCTTTGATAGTTGGCAAGCAGATCAAACATAAACTGTCAATTTGGCAAATAATCCAGGGGATCTGTCAGAGGCAGAAATGAAAAAAGGCCTAGGTTAAGGTGGAGGACAGGCGATTGCAAGAGCGAGTGCCCAGCGAAACGTGTCGACCAACCAGTCACCCTGCCACCCACTCTCTAGCCCTCATCAACCCCCGCCCTCACCTCAACCTTCAGCTCGGCACTTGTCATGAAATTTCCTATTTGTAGATGCGCGAGTTGCATTTCCTTTCCTACACCCAATGCGGTTGATGGTTTGGCTGCTCCTGCCAGTGTTGTCATTTCAATTTCAATTTGCTGACGGAAACTTGAGCGTCGCCCGTGACAACGCAGCCGAAGTTTCGGCATCGCCCTGGCCACCAATTAGTGCTGGAGCCCAGCGGGACACTCAACCTTCGAAAGTGTAATAAAATTCCTAGGAGCTGCCAGGCTGTAGTGGAAAACCAAGCGGCACGTCAGCACGGATTTAATTAAAATGTTTTACACGTGCGTAAATCCAGCAGTAATTGTTTCACATCCCATCCAACTGCATCATTTGGCCGACAATAAACCTAAATTATGGGCCGGCATCATGACCAGGCCTCAGAGGTATGTAAATGTCACAAAACGTTATTAAAACTGCTGCGGGGGCTGGCGGGCGTCCAGGATATCACAAGGACACGCTCTGGCAGCCGCAAAAAATTTGTCAAATTTAATTTACACCTGTTTAGAAATATGCAAATATCCGCCACAAGAGGCGGTGAGGCCACGAGGGGTACACTATGTGTGTGAGCCATCATCGGTCAAGGGTCTGGAAAACCCTCGGCAAAAAGAAGACCGGAAAAACAGCGAGTGAAAAACAGAGAACAACAATTTAGCTGCACTCATAAACATCGGCCACTGGGAAAAGAGAAGGAGGAAGGACGAGCCAAAGCCAGAGGATGTGTTGTTGGATGATTGCAGCAAATTGCCAGCACAGTTGTTGACTTTTGGCCATGTGCCTGTCCGTGTGTGTGTGTTTGTGAGTGTGTTTGGACTTTGGCCACTTACCACTGGCATTCAAATTGCCAGCACTTCGGTCTTGACTCTTTTTGTTCGCCTTTGTGTCACGGATTGATTGCTATACTAACTTTGATTTATTACCCGTTGCATACACCCAGCAGACTGATACAGGACTACCAAACAGCCTGGCCTTCAGCCAGGATTCGGGGCTCGAAGGGGCCAAGTCCTCTTAATAAACTATCAATGTCAACTGCAACTCGGATGGCTCTAATTACACAAACAGCAATCACCCATGCCAACAGCGTTATGCAACCCAAAACTAATCAGCCATCAAGGTCGATATACCTGTCGCTACTTGTATCCGTGCACTTGACATCGAAGATTGGCATTTATTGGATGCGGACAGCAGAACATATTGAGTTTTGGTGTATTAACTTATCGCATTATTCCGAATCAGAACTGGCTGACGTGTCCCAGGAAGATGGTTCTCTGTGCGTCCTTAATGGCGAAGAAGAAGGGATGATCCGCCGTGAACTCGAATATTTCCTCTCCCTCCAAGAAGGATTCCAACTCAGCCTTGACAACTGCAATCAAAGATAATCAATTATGAAAGCTTTTAGCCATTTTCACAGAAGAACTTACAGGTTGCTCCGCTGGCAGTAGTGCCCTTTTCGTTGACCTCGATTATGGCCTTGTGCTTCACCTCCGAGATGCGAAGCGGGGCCGACTCCCTGAGAAGACCGCTGAGACTCGCCTCAGGACTAAATAGTTTCTTAATGCCCAACTAAAAAATTATTTCGGGATAGACAAAAATATTTAAAGTCTTGTGTTGACAAGCAGAACTGTAGTTTACGACAGTGACAAAATTGTTTAGTAATAGTTACTTTTTAAACTGAGGAAAATGTATTCTTAAACAATTTTTGTGTCGTAAGAACTAGAAAAAGAAAGAAAGCCAAGTTTCGATCATTCTATTCATTATACTTTTGCAGAGGGTATTATAATTTTAGTCAGAAGTTTGCAACGCAGTGAGGGATATATTTGCGACCCTATAATGTATATATGTTTCTGATCAGCATCAGTAGAAGAGTCGATCTAGCCATGTCTGTCTTTCCGACTATTCGTCCGTTTCTAAACTGGTCTTTCAGTTTTAAAGCTATCTGTATAAACCTTTCCCAAAAACTTTTTATTGTGGTATAGTACTACTATATTATTTAGCTGCCATAGGAACATTCAAAAAAATTACTGAATAACAAGAAAGAAAGCAAACTTCGGCAAGCCGAAGTTCATATACCCTTGCAGCTATCGCAAGAATTAATTATTTTTGAAAACATTAAAATTATGATTTACTTGCGTATTTAAACCATAATTCTGAAATATTTAACCATTGCTATATGTCGAAGAACTAAAAAAAAATTAAAAAACAGCAAAGTTATAATTTTTTCAATTATTTTTCCGATTGTTCCTATGGGAGCTATATGCTATAGTCTTCCGATTTTGATGAAATTTTAACCATAATTCTGAAATATTTAACCATTGCTATATGTCGAAGAACAAAACAAAAAATTAAAAAACAGCAAAGTTATAATTTTTTTTCAATTATTTTTCCGATTGTTCCTATGGGAGCTATATGCTATAGTCGTCCGATTTTGATGAAATTTAAACCATAATTCTGAATTATTTAACCATTGCTATATGTCGAAGAACTAAACAAAAAATTAAAAAACAGCAAAGTTATAATATTTTTTCAATTATTTTTCCGATTGTTCCTATGGGAGCTATATGCTATAGTCGTCTGATCCGGCTCGTTCCGACTTATATACTACCTGCAATAGAAAGACAACTTTTGGGAAAGTTTCATGCAGATAGCTTTAAAACTGAGAGACTAGTTTGCATATAAACGGACGGACAGACGGACAGACGGACAGACGGACGGACAGACGGACAGACGGACGGACAGACGGACATGGCTAGATCGACTCTACTAGTGATGCTGATCAAGAATATATATACTTTATAGGGTCGGAAACGTCTCCTTCACTGCGTTGCAAACTTCTGACTGAAATTATAATACCCTCTGCAAGGGTATAAAAATTATACATAGATTTGCTGCTTTTGAGGATTTGGTTTCACTAAAATCAGGCGGCTATATCATAAAGAAAAACATTCGGAAGAACATACGAAAAAAATTATACGTTCGCTGTTTATACCCTTGCAGAGGGTATTATAATTTCAGTCAGAAGTTTGCAACGCAGTGAAGGAGACGTTTCCGACCCTATAAAGTATATATATTCTTAATCAGCATCACTAGTAGAGTCGATCTAGCCATGTCCGTCTGTCCGTCCGTCTTTCCCAAAAGTTGTCTTTCTATTGCAGGTAGTATATAAGTCGGAACGAGCCGGATCGGACGACTATAGCATATAGCTCCCATAGGAACAATCGGAAAAATAATTGAAAAAAAATTATAACTTTGCTGTTTTTTAATTTTTTGTTTAGTTCTTCGACATAAAGCAATGGTTAAATATTTCAGAATTATGGTTAAAATTTTATCAAAATCATTTTATCATATAGCTCCCATAGGAACAATCGGAAAAATAATTGAAAAAAATTATAACTTTGCTGTTTTTTAATTTTTTGTTTAGTTCTTCGACATATAGCAATGGTTAAATATTTCAGAATTATGGTTAAAATTTCATCAAAATCGGACGACTATAGCATATAGCTCCCATAGGAACAATCGGAAAAATAATTGAAAAAAATTATAACTTTGCTGTTTTTTAATTTTTTTTTTTAGTTCTTCGACATATAGCAATGGTTAAATATTTCAGAATTATGGTTTAAATTTCATCAAAATCGGACGACTATATCATATAGCTCCCATACAAATAATAAAAATATATAAAAGAACAATCAAATAATTAAGCTGCAAATCGTCATAGCTTCAATGTTTTTAAACATATACGCAAGTAAATCATAATTTTAATGTTTTCAAAAATATTTAATTCTTGCGATAGCTGCAAGGGTATATGAACTTCGGCTTGCCGAAGTTTGCTTTCTTTCTTGTATTCAATTGGTTTGAATATACTTCTATATAATGCAATGGCTTACAATTCGGAACAAACGAACCATCGAATAATTTAGCGGAATATCTTCATAGCTGTTATAGTTGTTATCTTTTAATAATATTAACGCTGTATTTCTGAAAATAATATACACTTAAGGAAGTTTCACCGGTTACAAGTTTCAACTTTGATACTTTTTCTGCAAAACCTACAGTACAGACAAAAGTTAATAGTGACTGAGCGCTCAGGGGAGACTACTTTTCATTACTAAAGGTTAATCTTAGTGTTTAAGTTATTGTAAAAAGAATGTTTCGTTGAGTGAAATCGTTTGAAAAGACTCACCTCCTCAAGGACTGGCTGCAGGGGGACATCGAACTCGAACTTAAATTTGGGCAGCTGCAGCTGTACTTTCTGCCTGCTCAACTGGGAGCTTATGTCATTAAGGTCTAGGCCGTTCAGTTGCTCCTCGAGGAAGGCCAGTCCCTGCTCCTCCTGGGGCAAAATGATCAGGAACACGATGTCTGTGCCGATGTAGGTCAATTCCAAGGCCTTTGCCTTCAGCTCGGGCAGTTCGGCGAACCTAAAGTAATCCTCTTGGGCCATGGTGTCCACGCTCACCTTCCGACCTCCGTGATTGACAAAGTCGCGGGCATAAGTGGCGTAGTCTGGGAATGTGCTCAGCCAGTTGGCCTTGAAGTAGATGGCATTGACCAGGATGGCGGCCGTACCTGCGTCAAGTGAGTCCGGAGCGATGAGGTTCTTGATTTGCTGGTTGGTCTGCTCCTCCACCCAGAAGTTAATGCGCTTGGCAGTATCCGCACTTTGGGCGAAGTTCACATTCTCGGCCGCTGCTGCGAAGTTTGAGCTGACCAAGTCCTGATAGGCCTGGGCCAGCTGGAACTGCTGGGCCACGTAAATCCGATTGGCATACCTCAATTTGGCCCCGTCTTCGTCCTCGTCCTCGTCCTCGCCCTTGTCTCCATTCCCCACCTGTCGCTGCCCTTTGCCCAAGAGCTGTGCCACCTCGCTTTTGTCAGTGCCCTCCAGGCCCAATCCCTGCCTCAGCTCATCGGCGGTGCTGCCATCGGCACCTAGGAAGGCCAGGGCCAAGCCAGTCCTGATGGACGAGGGCGAGAGGACGATATTCCGGCCAGGCTGGGACTTGGCCAATTGGCCATAAAGCTTCGAGGCAAACTGAGCCTCCCCGGCAGCGCTTTTGGAGTAGTTAAGAGTGTTCGCCATAGCCAGAATCAAGCCCTGGAGCAGCAAAAGTGACCACGTGGCCTTGGCTGTAAGATGTTGACATAGAAAAAGTAAAAGAGTAGTTAATTCAAGGACTCAAAACAAGCAGAGCGCTTGGTCTGAGGGAAGCATCTCTCCTACCTGACATGATGAAGCAAACTGAACTATAGCAAGTTTTAGATTTGTCCATGAACTGTTCTGTGATTGTTATCTGAGCTCAGAGAGGTTTTCTCAGATAGATTTTTTTTAGTTCTGCTGTAACAACAGGTTTTTGGCTAACATGAATATTCATATAAAGGCCAAATGTTTGGTAACAATGTATAGGCTTTTATACCCTTGCAGAGGGTTCTATTATTTCAGTCAGATGTTTGCAACGCAGTGAAGAAAACATTTCCGACCCTATAAAGTATATATGTATATTCTTGGAAAGTCGATCTATTAAATGCTCGCACTTAATTTGTGTGAGTAATTTGCACGGGGAAACTTGTCAATGTGTGTGTGTGGTTAAATACTGCTCATGTGTGCCCTGCTGCTGCTCTGCATAAGACAGGGTCGCTGTAGCAGAAGGTGGGGTGCTGTTCACTCTTCGTTTGTGGTGTTGTCAATGCAGTTCGGTAGATGGCGCCACCAAAAACAGGCTATTTTTTTCTGGGGGAAAATTTGTGATGAAATTTGTTAGCTGAGTAACGGGTATCTAATTGTCGGGGAACTCAACTTCGGCGTTCTCTCTTGTTTCACTTGAGATTTTGCTTTTTTCATTAAATATGAAAACATACACCATTGCACAGTGGTCGGGCTTGTATGTAAATACTTCTAGATGGGCTTCTAGATAGACTATTTATCGCTTATTAATATATAGGACAAGAATTGTCCAGATTGTACGAGATTCTTTAAGAGGACAGATAGAGCAAAACTAAAAGATGAATAAATTCGAATAGCTAGACCAATTATAAATAAGAATTGGTACATTTAAAGTCAAAATTTTGACTTTGATTTAACGACACTTCCTTACGAGTGGTGATTTCTAGTGACCCATAGACCATAAATAAAAAAATCAAAGTCAAAATTTAACATTTCTAAGAAATATAATCAGATTGACTTGAATGTGATCCCAAATTATTTAATTTTCGGCCTTGGCTTTTTTTAATATATGTATAATATATCAAAATAAACTTTCTTATCGTCATAAGCAAATATGTTTGTGTGTCAACCTTCCTATAAAAATCCATAGCGATAGAGGCATTCATCCAGTCTCCGTGTCATAGTCTATAAAGCATAATGGTCCTCAAAGTAGGAATTGCTGTGATAGCCTGTCTATTTCTTTGGACTAACGAAGGATCGGCTGACTTGCTGGAAAAGAACTGTGGAACAACAAAGCGTTTGTCGAGGTTCAAGCGGGTGGTTGGAGGACAAGATGCTGAAATATTCTCGAATCCATGGATGGTAATCCTACTCAAAGACCTAAAAATGATCTGTGGTGGTACGCTAATCACCTCTCGTAAGTACTCAAGAACAAACAACTTTTCTTTAATTGTCCACATAATTAGTTTATTTAACACTTCATTCAAGGTTTTGTCTTGACGGCAGCAAATTGCGATTCCCCCAGGTAAGATAATTAATTGTATTAATATACAGAAATGTATTATCTTTTGGATTGCAGTAAGGTGCGCTTGGGCGAATACGACAGGGAAAGCAGCGAAGATTGCTCACCGGCCGGTTGTATACAGAGAAGCTATGATGTTGATATCGAAAGGTTGATTTCCCATTCATTATTCGGAAAGAACCTAGGAGATTTTAAGCATGACATAGCTCTGGTAAAATTGGCTCAAGAAGTTGAATTTTCAGGTAAATAATAGACTTGTCAACAAAAAATGCTAAACCAAAAATCTTTTCCGCAGACTCTGTAAGGCCGATCTGTCTGCTCGTCAATGAGCAAGTGGGAAGAACACCTACATCATTTAATGTCACCGGATGGGGTAAAACAGATGGGGATGGAAATGGCAGTCGGATCCTACAGACAGCAACTTTAAGCAATATTAATTTGAAGAAGTGCATCGACTATTTCGGAATGGAGGATCTTGATGAATCCCAGATTTGTGCCGGTAGCTCGACAGCCGATACATGTACTGGTGATTCAGGGGCTCCTTTGACCGCTGAGCTAATTTATGGGAAAATTCCCCGAGTTTTCCAGTTTGGTATTGCCAGCTTTGGAGCAATATCCTGTGATGGCACCAGCGTTTACACAAATGTTACGCACTATATAAACTGGATTACGAGTACAATTGACCAAAATTAAAATTAGAAAGATTTATTTAATAATAAATTTTACTGAATAAATCATACATTAACAGGAACTTGTGTAAATCAAGACAAAGTAATAAAAAGTAAACAAACAAAGGCCGTAATTCATTGTTAAATATTAATAAATGCAAGACGATTTTTTTTTAATTATCGTATTACATATTACAAACCGATATGAGATTTGGTATTTGTTGGGCCAATTTAATTATTTTTTCATATTGTTTGACTATCTCAATTATATTACTGAAATTTTCTAAATTTAAAAAATGAATTAACCAATCGTACAGGGGGTACACCCTGCGATGGTTGACATTCCGACTTTATAAAGTATATATATTCTTGAACAGCATCACTAGGAGAGTCAATCTAGCCAAAGCCGTCTGTGCGTCTATGCGTTTCTACGCAAACGAAACTAATCTGCATAAAACTTTCCCAAAAATTTGGATCGGACGGATATATCATACAGCTCTTATAAGAACAGTCGGGAAAAAATTGGAAAAATATTATAACATCGCTGTTTTCTAAATTTTTGTTTTAAATCTTCGGTATGTATAAAAGGTTTATTATTTAAATATTACGAGCTAATCTCGATTAAAACCGGACGATTATATCATATAGAACCAATCAAAACGATCAAAATATTAAAAAATATATATATATTTAACTTCTCTATTTTTTAATTGTTTTTTTTTTTTGTAATGCTTTTTAACATAGTAATAATTCGATAGCTCAGAATTATTCAAATCGGAATCATATAAAAATCTTAATTCTATGATTCAATGTTTTTAAGCATACACGCAAATAAATCAGAACTTAAATGTTTTGAAGAATATTTTATTTTTGAGATAGCTGCAAGGGTATACGAACTTTGGCTTGCCGAAGATTGCTCCCGTTCTTGTTTTTTTGATTCTTTAAATACTCTATAGTAATGGTTTAATAATTTAAAACTATGATTTTAATTTTATTAAAATCAGTAAACGATATCTCTTAGCTGTTATAGGAATGATCAAATAATTTTTGTTTTAAAGAATTTTTAATTTTTGCACTAGCTGCAATGGTATTTAGTTTTCGGCTTGCCGAAGTATGATGAATATTGATTAGATTTTTATATTAAGATGAACAAGAAAATATTAATGAGCATTTCTTGATTATCAGCGTTATTTTCCTCCCATCATTTCGTGACTAGAACCAATCCTATAAGGAACAATATTAAGAGCAAAAACTTCTCTCTTCAATCGTCTCTTTCTTGCTCTCTTTCTGGCCCTATATAGCTCTCTTATTCTTTGCTTTGAGCGCTGTTGTTGACAAACAGTGATGTCATTTTGTTTACAATTAATAAACTCTATGTAGGGAAATCACATCAAAGGTGAATGATGAAATATACTATTATCTATAATCTGCAGATAATATGATTTTACTTACCTTTTAAAATTTATCGATGAATTCCAAAGAGTGGTACGGATTTTAAGGTGGTGCGAGGGCTTCTACGTTTCACAGAGAACTAAAATTTTTCGGTCCCTAATAACGCGCTCTGTGTGGCAATTTATGCTAATTAATTAAGGGGGTCTTCTACTCTCGAGGCGAGGAATTGAGTTGTTATTTAGAGAATTTGTTACAAAAGTTTTACTGCATAGATTTTAAAAGTTTCTTTTATTATTTAAAGATATATGTTTTTACTTGTAAATTTGGTTTTAAAACTTGAAAAAACAATTTTTTCCAGAACCTTGGAATGTGTTTTTCATAACACATTACAAACTTATGTAGCGATTTGGCGAGCTGTTTGGTCAGAAATCAGACAAGAAAGGAAGAAAACTTCGGCACGCCGATGTTCATATACCCTTGCAGCTATTTCAAAAATTAAATATTGAAAACATTTAAATTAAGATTAACTTGCGTATATGTTTAAAAACATTGATTAATTATTCGATAGTTCCTATGGCAGCTATATGATATAGTCGTCCGATTTTGATGAAATTTAAACCGTAATTCTGAAATATTTAACCATTACTATATCTCGAAGAATTAAAAAAAAATTAAAAAACAGCAAAGCTATAATTTTTTTTTATTTATTTTTCCGATTGTTCCTATGGGAGCTATATGCTATAGTCGTCCGATCCGGCTCGATCCGACTTATATACTTCCTGCAATAGAAAGAAAACTTTTGGGAAAGTTTCATGCAGATAGCTTTAAAACTCAGAGACTAGTTTGCGTAGAAACGGACGGACAGACGGACGGACAGACGGACAGACGGACGGACAGACGGACAGACGGACATGGCTAGATCAACTCTCCTAGTGGTGCTGATCAAGAATATATATACTTTATAGGGTCGGAGATGTTTCCTTCACTGCGTTGCAAACTTCTGACTGAAATTATAATACCCTCTGCAAGGGTATAAAAATACATATTTCTCGTAATATTTTATGCCGATGTTGCAGATATTTAAATATTTTATAATTACGGTTTAAATTTCATCAAAATCGGACGACTATATCATAGAGCTCCCATAGAAATAAAAAATATATTTAAAATAACTCTACTAATTGAGCTGCAAATCATCTCAGCTTCAATGTTTTTAAACATATACGCAAGTAAATCAAAATTTTAATGTTTTCAAAAATGTTTAATTCTTGCAATAGCTGCAATGGTATATGAACTTCGGCTTGCCGAAGTTTGCTTTCCTTCCTGTTTATTTATAAGTATCTTATAATTGTATATGCTCTTTCTTTATTGTATTTATTGACTTATAAAATAATTTTAAGAAAGGGTAAAAAAATGTATAGATTAGAAAACGGCAACTACAATTTAGAATCATTCCCGCAAATATATAACAACCCAGAGAAAATTAGCAAAGTATTAGTAAAAAAACGCTTCATACAAATTTTCTTTTACTTTGCTTTTAAAAACTTTAAAACGTCAAACTTTAGATTTATGTTTTTCGTGTAGCCGGTTTTTCCAAAAGCTTATCTGCTCACTTGTGGGTTTTTTTTAACTAATGTTTTGATTTTCTTTCACAAGTATGACCAAATCTGTAATAATAGTTGTTGACAAAGATTACTGTGCTAATTATTATTTGCTATAAACAGGAGCCAATCAAGAGTACAATTGTGATGAATAACTTTTCTGTTTGAGGTGGAAGAACTTATGGCTTTTAAATTACCTTTAAAAATATATATATTATGATTTTCTGTATTTTATTGCTATTAAATTTGGTTGAAGAGGCAATGGCGGATTAGCAAAGTTGCAAGAGTAGCAAATGAAACGGACTCCACCAAAGACCAAGCGATTTATTTTTACAAATGGTGTATCTCGAACCTGAGTAGTGGTCGTAAACCTCACATCAGACGATCGGTTTGAACTCGAGTAGACTGGTGAGTTACTCCATAGAGATTTGCGTGATTCTTTTTCCACTATGCAATTATTATTTATGTGAAACCAAAGTTCAGTCAACATCTTTAAATAGTTTTCTAGAAGATAACTTATTAGTTAGCTTTAATTATTTGCAATGGTAAAACTAACATAGAAAACCAACTTTGTTGTACTTAATTTGAATATTTTCCTTTTAATTTTCATCCATTGCAGTTTTTAGTTATTTCAAATATGAAAAAATAAAATTTTACGTTTAACTTCATTCGGAATTGATTTTAATGTCATTTAATTTAATTAAAATTTAAACCATATTTATAATACATAAAATGTATTTAATTCAAATATGAGCTATTTTAAATCTAATATTTTCAACATTAATTAAATTAAATAATTAAATCATGATACTTAATACGCATTGTATTTTAAATTATGATTTAATAATTTATTAAAATTTTAAATTAATGTTAAATTTAATAGTCAGATATTTATTTTTACTATTCCATTTTTTTATTAGTGTAGTCTCTATTATTTTATCTATTAATTACGTAAGCTGTAGAATAGCTGCTAAACCAATCACATAATAAGTAAAACTTTGGTTTAAATCTTCTAAGGGTTCAAAGTTATTAAATAATAAGCTGAAGATTTCTTGCCTCTTAGAATTTCCAAGTATTTTTTAAAAACAGTCAGACACTTAAGTTGTTTTCAGATTTATTTAAGGGCTAACAACACGGCCCTGGAAGTATATGGTACTCGCATCGCGGATGACGAAGGCAAAGGGATGGTCGGCCACGAAGAACATGGAAAAGCCCGCTCGATTCGTGACGGCTACAGCTGGGGATCAACGAAAACAGTGAATGTGACGTACGTAGTGCGAAGTCATCTGCGATAACCAAATCTCTTACTTGTGGCAGCCGCGGCCTCTGCTCCCTCCTCGTTCACCTCCAGGAATGCCTTGTGCGAGACTTGGCTGACTTTTCCGCCTGACTTATCGCCGAACAAGCCGCTCAGGTCCGAGTTGTCAGTGAAAAGCTCTCGGATGCCCAGCTGCAATGGAATTTGTGAGTGGCGAAACCAGATATTTGCCAGAGTCACATTCAGAGTCAACCCACCTGCTCTAGGGTCTCCTTAAGTTCGTCACGAAACTCGATCTTGAACCTGGGCAGCTTCACATACACCTCCTTGGCCTCCAGCGGTCTGGCGAAGCCACCGATTTTCTCCTCCAGAGAGCCCAAGCCGCCGACTTCGCGGGGCAGGAAGATGGTCATGGACAGGTTGGAGTTCTGGTACGGCAGCTCGATCACCTGCGCGTCCAGGTCTCGGAAGTAGTTCGCCCTGAACATGCCCATCTGCATCATCATCTGGACGGGCACACTCTTGTCGGCGGTCACTTGGAAGCTGGCGGCTCTGGTCTTCACCGGTTCAAACTTGGACTCCCACTGGCCCTTGAAGTAGATGGCGTTCACCAGCAAAGCCTTGACGTCGGCGGTCATGCTGCCGGGTTCGATCATGTTCTTGATCTTGCCACTGGTCTGCTCGAGCACCCACTGATTGATCCCCGCGGCGGCCCCAGGGCCGTTGGCCAGGCTAATGGACTGCGCCTCGGCCCGGAAGGGTTCCCTCACGGCCAGGTTGTATTCCGCATGCAGGCTGTACTGATCATTCACGTAGATGCGGTTGGCCAGCTTCAGAGTGGCTCCGCCCTGCTCCTGCCCCTGGAGCCGGCTGAGCAGTGCTCCGTATTTGGTGGCCACCGCCTGCTTGTCCCCGGATGGCAGCCTCAGGGCACTCTGCAGCTCCCGAGCTGTCGACCCTCCGGCACCCATGTAGACCATGCTCAGGATGGTCTCTATCGAAACGGGCGAGACGATGAGGTTCTGGTTGGCATGGCTCTTGGCCAGCAGCTGGTAGATCTCCTCGGAGGCTTGACTGGCCACAGAAGTGACGCACAGAATCAGGCCTACAAAGGGTAAATTCATATTATCACACTCTTTTACTTCGTTAAGGCGTCAAAGACAAACTTATCCTTATAAAACAACATTTTATCCGACTAAGTAAGATGACTAATGCATCAATTAAAATCAAAAATGGTAATCTAATCGCCACAATCTACTCTTACTGCACTGCCCGACATCGATTCGCAACTTACACAAGTAATTCATTTCGCCGCCTCCAACGAACTGGTCGCCGAGCTAAGTATCTCTGTAAACTGAGCTCAGAGTGCCGAGACGAGCTTCTATATGTACTGGACTCATACCTATGTACCTCGTTACTGAGAACTGGGAACTGGGAACTCTCTTAGATTGAAATTCAATGAGTTCTAGTGGGATTTCCTAGCTGATTTTTATTTGGTCTCACTGCTGTTCTTGAACATTGTACATGCTGGCATCGGAACCTTCCCTCGCATCGCCCTCCTCTTGAAATCCAGAACCGGGCATTGCAAAACGACCGGCGAAGAACACGGCCTGCGAGTTGCGTATGTAGAACACAAACGGGTGATCCGCCCTGAAGAGCTTCTTGTTCATGTTCAGCATCATGGGCACAATCTTCATGACTGCAAGTGGGGGCGATAGTCAGATGGGCGTTAGTCATGGGGGGCAATCGACTTGACTTACAGGTGACGGCTGCTGCCTCCGATCCAGCCTCATTTACGTTGATGTAGCCGCGGTGCCTTGCCGCCGAGATCTTCTGACCAGTTCGTGACGTAAAGAGGCCGTCCAGTTGGGCCTTATCACTGAAGACTTCCGCAATTCCTAGCTGTTAGTTAAATATAATTAAATATAAACAGGTATTAATTAACAGTAAGTATTAGATTCCGTAGAAAATGTTTGAATACAAATCGATTCATTCATTTTTATAATTTATATAACAGTAAGTATTAGATTCCGTAGAAAATTTATTTTTATAATAAATTATTGTGAATAAGTATAAGTCTTGTTGACTTTGAATGTGGTGTGTTTATAACAAGAAGGGAAGCAAACTTTGGCAAGCCGAAGTTTATATACCCTTGCAGCTATTGCTAAAATTAAATATTCCTTAAAATATCTAAATTTTGATCTATCAGCTAAATTATTCGATCGTTCCTATGGCAGCTGTATGATATCGTTTTCCGATTTGAATTAAGTTTAAAGCGTGTTTTTAAAATATTAAACCATTATTTTATCCAAAAAAAAAAAAAAAAAAAAATTATAAACCAATAATTGATTAGTTAGAGGTACTTCTTATTTACTATTTGCTTTAATTTTTTGATAGATATTACAAACGGCTTTAAAGTTTTAAAAAACATTTGAATTGATTTAAACTTACAGTTAAAAACTTTAAAAAGAAAAAAAATTTATCAAATTGATATTCTATATTTTTATATTGAATTTTTTATTAAACCTGTAGCCTCACCTGATTTAGTATTTGCTTGAGGTCGACATCGTACTCTATGCTCATGCGGGGCAGGAAAATCTCCACATCCTGTAAGACCATGGCCGCGTCGATGTCGGCTAGATCCACGGTGTTGAGCTGCAGCTCCAACTCCCGCAGGCCGGAGATCTCGTTGGGCAGCAGGATCAGCATGTGGATGTTCGAGTATTCGTAGGGCAGCTGCACGGCCCGAGCCTTCAGTTGTGGCAGGTCGGCGAACCGGAACTTGTCCTCCTGGTACATCATGCTCACCTCCACGCGAGTGTCCTGGTCCACATGGAAGGCGTCCAGGGACGTGGTCTCTGGCATGAAGGGCTTCTGCCACTTTCCCTTGAAGTACAAGGCGTTGATGAGCACGGCACTCGTCTCGTTGCTCACGGCGTCCGACTGCAGGAGGTTGCTGATCTTCTGCTCCGTCTCCTGCTCCACCCAGGCGTTGATCTGCTGCGTGGCAGCCTCCGAATCGGTGAACTTAGCCGCCTCCGCCTTCGACTGGAAGAAGTCCACGGCAATCTCGTTGAACTCCGGCTGCAGTTCCAGGGTATCGTTCACGTACAACCGGTTCACGGACTTCAGCACGGGTCCCCTTTCGCCGTAGTTGCAGTTCGTCCGCCAGAACTCTCCAAAGGAGCGGGCAATGTGGTGGCGATCCCCTGATCCCAGCTGCAGTCCAGTCCTTAGCTCCTCGGCCGTCGTCCCGGAGGCTCCCATGAAGGCCAGGGTGAGGCAACTTTGGACGGAGGCGGGTGAGAAAACCGTATTAACCTTGCCATCATCGCTCTGTTCCAGGGCGTCCTTGGTGATGGTATCAATCAGGGTGCGGGAAAACAGATTTCTACTCTCTTGGGGATCGCTCATCTCGATCTGCGGATAGGGAAATTTTAAAGTTTATAAATTTAAGCAAATGTCAGAGAACATTTCTTAAGATAATACAAAACCTTTTTGTATTCGACTTAAGGAAAATTAGAAGCAAATATCAGTTCATTGTTGCATTTTTGCCACTATTAATCAAACTATAATTTGAAAATCCTATTGTCAAATATTTTTGCATACGTCAGATGACGTACTAAAACAGAACTACTACTGTATATATATACAAGTATAATGTTATGTTCAATGTGTCTGCCTCCAGTGTTTGCTTTCGTCATTTAATTTGCTTTATAACAAACGCCCAAAGGCAATTAAAGTGATAAAAAATCAACGTCAACTGATAATGCTGTTAATGTTTATATATTTTTTCGTACTGCACAAGGCATGATAAATTCTTTCAAATTATATATATGCTATATTTGGCTTACGGTAACCAAGTCTACCGATTTTGAACTAACTGCTAGATAAAAGTTTATGCTTTAACTAAGATTCAAGTCGATTGAAGACAACGTAGAAAAGGAAATAACCTTGTATTTGGCACACTGATAAAGGTGGAAAATGCGTGTGACCTTTCTGATACGCTGATACTTAGACCGGAGAAGATTTGCACGGAGGCAACAGGAAGGCACTACAGTAGGTGCGAGGTGTCTGTCAGCCGGCGTGGAACTGACTACTGCCAGGGAATGACTGTGACTCAGAACTGAACGAATGTGCCGCGATTAGATACATTCCAAGAGAGTTGGCAGTGGAGAGAACCAGCTGACTGGCCCCTGAAACCGAAGCTTCCTATCAACACGTCCTCAATTGAGCAGGTTGATAGCTTATCTACCTCACAATTATAATGATTTGCCAAACAAAAGTCAAGTCGATCTCTTAAACGCTTTCCGAAAAGAGTACCCTCTGACTCTTCTATCGCAAAGTATACACAACCCAAACACTTTTTTAGAAGAGTAGTTAAAGTTGCCTGCTTTCGCCCACAATGAAAGATGAAGAGTTCGCACAGGGCTTGGAACAGTTCGCCTACTGTCTGCACGAACAGCTATGTCGGGCCAATCCCGGCCAGAACATCATATACTCCCCGCTGTCCGTCCGGACTTCTGCCGGCATGCTGCGGATGGCAGCGACGGAGGGATCAGCCACGGCCAAGGAGTTGGACGAGGGACTCCGCTTTGCAGGGCGAACTGTGCCGGAGATAGCCGAGAGTTTTGATGCCGTTTTGAAGGCATTTGAGAAGTGTCCGATCCTGAAAATGGCCAACGGGTTTTACGTTATGAAGGGTCACCAACTAAGCGAGCAGTTCGGCAGCATTTTAGAGAAAAAGTTCCACTCCAAGTCAATGGAGATTGACTTTGGCAGCGACCAGGCCGCCAGTATTATCAATAATTGGGTGGAGTCTCAGACCAACAACCTGATCAAGGACATTATCGGTCCAGGAGTTCTAAGCAAGAACTCTCGGCTGGTGCTCATCAATGCCATTCACTTTAAAGGTATGTGGTCAATCGGATTTAATGAAAGTGAGACTCAAGAAGAGTTGTTCTTCTCGGAACCGGGCAAACCTGTCAAGGTGAGAATGATGCACGTTTCCGATAAGTTCTCCTTTGCCTCGCTGCCCAATCTCGAAGCCACTGCCCTTAAAATGAACTACAGTGCCTGCAACTTGGCCATGATCGTCATATTGCCGGATGAGAAATCAAGTCTTGAGATCCTAGAAAGCAAATTACCTAGCACCTCTCTAGAGGCCTTGTTATCCTCCATGAACCTGGAACAAGTTGACGTCAAGATTCCTAGCTTCAAAACCGAATTCCAGCAGGAACTATCCCAGGCTTTCAAGTTGGTAAGTCGAAATCGAAGTGTGCATGTCTATTAATTATATATCCTAACTATTAACAGATGGACATGAGCCGTATATTTAGCAGTCAGGCCGATCTCGGCGCATTGCTGAAGACCCAAACGCACCTTAGTGTCTCAGAGATTATACACAAGGCTTTTATTGAAGTCAACGAAGTGGGCACTGAAGCAGCAGCCACAACAGGTGGGTGCAATGGCAAAAATATAGTCTAATAGATATGTGACATATGTTTTTCGAACGCCAACACATCCAAAATTATTCGAGGTTACTAAGTAAACCCCTTAAAATTAAACAAAAAAAATGTACATTTTGAATAACTTTTGAACAGATCATCGGACACAGGCTAGTTTAGTGTCTTTCGAAGCGTATTTTCGACAAAATTACAGAAATATATATAGTAGTCTCCTATACACACGATCTTCGTAAGCAACGTCACCATATGAACTGCCGTCCATAGTCACATCAGTGGGGTCAGAAATGTCCCCTTCATTGCTTTGCACACTTTTGACTGATATAATAAAACCCTTTGCAAGGGTATACAAATTATGATGAAAAGTAGATGTTTTCCTATATTTTTTCCCAAGACAATTATACAGTTGCTCATTTTATTAATCATTTTTCCGAACTTCCTTCAGCTGTGGTCGTCTCATTAAGAAGCATGCCTGCCCCTCAACGTACGCCAAAAGTGTTTCATGCCAATAGACCCTTCTTCTATGCGATCTATGACAACGTCCATGGTTTCCTCTTTGTCGGTCACTTTAGCTCGACAAAGGTTGAAAAGTCCGAAAAATGTAAAAAATGTAATTATAAGAATGAATGCAAGTCCTGAGGAATGTTTATTTTTAGTGATTATGCCATCTAACTAAGAAAATATCACATTAGTGTGGAGTGAACGACATCAGTAAAAGTTATTTCATATGTTTTACATATTACTAAAAACTAATAAAGTTTGTCAGCAAATAATTGTATGTACTTGGCATATTCATAAAGCTTGATAAATAAAATAAATTCAAGCACAATTTTTGTTAAATATAAATACAAATAAGAAATGAACAAAACGGAGAACGACGACATATTGTTTCAAACTTCTGCAGAAAAATTATGATTGTTTCGAAGTCCAACAAATTTTCAAAAAAGTTTGAGTACACTTAAACGTGTACTCAGCAATCAAGAACAATAGAAGAAAAATTTGTGTAAAATGGAAGAGATTGAACTCTTGGGAATATATGGTTGGTTATACGATAAGCAAACCTCCGAGCGCCGAATTCAAACAGGAAAATTAAATCCTTTTGGGAAAACGATTTAAAGAAAACCCAGAAAGAACGTTTAGTCTAGTTTCCCGACTACGTGATACCCGTTGTTCAATGCGCCATCCGTCTGCGTAATACTAGCTAAAAGTACATTACTATTGAAAAATCAATACTACAAATTAGTTTTCATTAAAAATGTATATCATTAAAACAATAAATGTAAATTACTAAGACCTAAAACCTTAAAGCATATTTTTCTTTCCCTTGCTTCCTGTTCAACAAAAACAATATACCTTTTGCCGACGAGTAAGAAGTACAAAAATTTATTGTGTGGTTTATTTTACGAGCATAAAAGAAGCGGATGTTCTTTAAGAAAATGTAGTTGTTGCTCAAAAGCCACATCATAAAAGGCGGTACCAGCTTAAATCAAGAAAAATTAAAAAACAACAGAATCTTTCTTACCAGCAGTTCCTAAGTAGGATTTTTTACACCTCTAGACGATGAGTGTAAAAATATGTACTGAGCTTTTTGACAGTGTATAATACTTTTTTTTTTAAAAGCTAATGGCCAAACGGCAGGGCAAAAACAAAAGGAACAAATTGTAGCGTTCTTCCGTTATCAGTATGCTCAAAAAATTCTCATTATTCTGGAAAACAAAAACAAGCTCAAGCGGAGCTTTGACTGATAAGGCCGCAGCAAATAGTTGTGGCCTGGAGTCACGGCAGTCTACAACGCACGCTTTAAACACTCAGTTTGCCCAGCAATCCAGATCCATTAGTAATAGGACAAAAATAATTGAAAAATGATGAATCTCCTAAGGCTAATTGGTAAGTTCGACGATAAGCCAAAATACAAGACTGTAGAAAAACAAGCGAAACAGAGAGTGGCGTAAGATATACATTTAGAGAGAGTTAGCCAAAACAGAGAGCATTGGAAAGCAGAGAAATGCCACGTACTAAGAGAAAAACCCGTTTGGGAAGGCGAATTTAAGAGAAACAGAAACAGCATTGTGGGCAAAAACACATATATGTAGATATGCGGGCATAAAAACATTGGACGCTCGTCGAGAAAATTCAGTTGTTGCTCAAAAGTCACACCAAATTAGTCGAGGGCGGTAGCGCTTGAGTAAACAGAAATCGAAAAGTACAAAATCGAAGCCGCTGGAGAAAGCTCTTCGAGAATCAGCAGTTGGTGCAGGCTGTAAATATACGTTCCCGATAAGCAAAGCCTTGTGAATCCCCGGCGAAACGGCATTCCCGAGAGATATTGTGTACACCGTTCGTGGAGGTGACTCATCAGTCCACTGCAATTACATAAATTTATGAAACCGAGCACACCTCATCCACGGTCGATTTGGATACTTACAGCTTGCTGGTTGCTCCCCCTGCTCTGCCTGGCCCTCTCCCTCAGCCCGCTGGTCCGCTCGTCTGACGTCACCATGGCCGACGCCGCCCACCAGGAGTTCGCCCGTCGACTGGCCCTCTTCTCCATCAACGTCTACGAACAGCTGTCGACGCAAAAGTCCGGCCAGAACATCGTCTTCTCTCCCTTCTCCATCCAAACCTGTGCGGCGATGGCCCGCTTGGGCGCCGAAGGCGAGACGGCCACCCAGTTGGACAGGGGTTTGGGACTGGCCTCCAGCGATGCGGGCCAAATCGCCCAGAGCTTCCACCAGGTACTGGCCGCCTACCAGGACAGCCAGGTGCTGCGGATCGCCAACAAGATCTTCGTGATGCAGGGCTACCCGCTGCGCCAGGAGTTCGACCAGCTGCTGACCAAGCAGTTCCTCTCGGGGGCGCAAAGCGTCAACTTCGCCAAGAGCGCCGAGGCGGCTGCCACCATAAACGGGTGGGTGGAGCAGCGCACCAACCACCTAATCAAGGACCTGGTGCCGGCCAGCGCCCTGGACGCCAACTCACGCCTGGTGCTGGTGAACGCCATCCACTTTAAGGGCACCTGGCAGCACCAGTTCCCAAAGCATGCCACCCGGCCGGACACCTTCCACTTGGATGCGGCGCGCAGCGTCCAGGTTCCGATGATGAGTTTGAAGGAGCGGTTCCGTTACGCCGATCTGCCAGCTCTTGACGCTACGGCCCTAGAGCTGCCCTACAAGGACTCGGACCTCTCCATGCTGATCGTCCTGCCCAACAGCAGGACGGGCTTGTCCGCCCTGGAGGAGAAGCTGCGTGCGACGCCTCTCTCGCAGATTACGCAGGCCCTGCACAAGACTCAGGTGATAGTAAAGCTGCCCAAGTTCAAGGCCGAGTTCCAAGTGGAGTTGACGGACGTTTTCCGGCAGGTGAGCTTATTTTTGGGCACTTAAGGGAGTGGCAATTAAAATTCTTTCCTCCCATCCAGCTGGGAATGTCGAAGATGTTCAGCGACCAAGCCGAGTTCGGCAAGATGCTGCAGAGTCCCGAGCCCCTGAAGGTGTCGGCCATCATACACAAGGCCTTCATTGACGTGAACGAAGAGGGAACAGAAGCCGCGGCTGCCACGGGTAAGTTCTCCAAGTTCTACCGTACTCCACTTGCATCTGTCATCCTCTGCATGTCTCATTTGTTCATCCGTGTCTGTGTTGTCTTCTTCCCATCCCGCAGGCATGGTGATGCGTAACAAGCGCTCCATTACCTCGCTCGAGGAACCGGTTGAGTTCCTCGCAGATCATCCATTCACCTATGCCCTGGTCCATGGGGAGGACTTGCCCCTGTTTTGGGGCTCTGTTGTGCGGCTCGAGGAGAGTGACTTCGTCTCCAGCGAGCACGATGAACTGTGATGCTACCTCATTTTATGTCAGATTAATAAAGGCAGCTATTTGCTTAACAAGGAGATTTGTGCATTTGTCTAAAACCTTGGAAAACTCTGTAAAAATCAAAAAACAACATTTAGTTGGCAACAACCATTCCTGGGGAGCATATCAAGAAATTACCAAATTAAGTTTGTAAGAGTTATCCGAACATTCCCTTCTCGCTCATCTGTCCTTTAATAAACTAATCACTTGAGCGCCGGACTCTCATGTTCATTGCAGGAATGGTCATGTGCAATGCCACGATGGTCCCGTTCCAGCCGGAGCCCATCCAATTCCATGTCCAGCATCCATTTAACTATTACATTCTCGATACGGACTCAACCATTCTATTTGCGGGGAAAATACTTAAGCTTAAAGTCAGCATTCTGTGATGTTTTCACTCCATCAAAATCCACCAATGGTCTCACCTACACTGAACTGAATTCCACTGTCATCTCAATTTACAGGTATGGTCATGATGCTCTGTTCGATGCCCATGCCCCAGCCGGATCCGATACGATTCAATGTCGATCATCCATTTAACTACTACATTCTGAATAAGGACTCCACTATTCTTTTTGCTGGCAGCATTAAGAAGCTCTAAATAATCCTGGGTACCCCTTACTAACAAGGTCAACCATGCTGTTCGTGTATCTCATCTCCATTCCGTTTCCAGGTGTGATCGCCAGTCGTATATTGATGACCTGGCCTGAGACGCATCCATTCAGATTTTACATTGTCTATAAGGCAGCCCCTGCAACCTATATTCGCATACCAAATTTAACAAGTCTAAGACTGCGCACAATCGATGATCTTATATACATATATACACATAACATTTTTGTACTAACCAAGCATGTAGCCTCAATAAAGTCCAAAACCGACTGGTCTAAATTCTCCATCGCTTCCATGATCCCTTCGTAGGATTCCGGGTGATGCCCGTGGCTGGTTTCAGGCGCAAGCACTTCGTTGCCAACCATCCCTTCGTTTTCTATGTGAAGTCGCTTGTAGATCTGCCGATCTTTACTGGCCGTCACTTCGGCTAAGCAGCCGGTGGATTCGGAGGAAGTAAATTTAAGTTCAATGAAATAAAATAAACGACTGCCTCTTAATAGCTGTGATTGCGTCAAGTCGATGTAATTTATAGAAATACATTTGGAAAACGCATCCAAGCCTGACGGTTTCGCACGCCATTGCCGAGTTAGTATGGCAAATCGAGCAAAGATTCCCAATAGTTGATCTTCAAGTGCTAGGCGAGACACTCTAAGTATGCTCCGTTGGCTGCAAATCGGGATTCTTCTACCGCTATTCTCTTTGGGTCGAGGGAACTTCTCATCTGGCTCGTTTAATTGTAAGTAGCGGAGGCTCAATCTTGAAGGAGTTACTTAGGGAGCGCTTCATATGCAGTGACCCTGTACAGGCAAATGCCCCCTCTGCACCAACTGGATGACTACGATCTCTGCCTGGATAGGCCCTCTGCCTACTGCCTGGCATATGTGGAGATCCTTCCCAACGCCAGTTCCACTTTGTGGCACCTAATCCACGAGGTATCGCAGGACACTAAACATCGTTTTCGCCATGATCGCGTTTTTCGGGGCGTGTGCCTGGAAGGCTGCAAGCAAAGTCTGATCGACTTATCTGAGTCGAGGGAGCATGAGGAAGGAACTTTTCTGGACCAGGAACTAGTTGCCTACTACGCCAAGGTCCACCGACGAGCATCGGATGCGGATGAGAGGCTCCTCTACGAAGAGTTGGTAAACAGCTGCCTGAATCTTAAGTTCGGTGCGGAGTTCTCGCTTCAGACTCGCAGCCTCATCGAATATTGTGTTCCGGCGGATGATCACTTAGAACATGGCAAGTAGAGTGATAAGTCTGATAGCTTTACGTAAAAGCCACTTTCTACAATCCTAGCACTTCTTTAATTAAGTAATTTATCGGTGCATCTGTCTGCTTGATTTTCTATAAGCGTTCAATGAAGCGTGTTGAAACTTATAGGGTGAATTTTCCCAGATGGACTCGATTTGATTTTTTATGCTCTTTTGATCTGCATACTCCTGCTTACTTTGAGCTCCTCAATCTACGACTTTAGACTCAGCCAGATAAATCCGCAGCAGACAGAGAATTTCTACCGGAAGGCACCAAGCAGTCGCAGTAAGTTCATGTTAAATGCGGGCATAATAATGGCTTTGTTGCTGATTTTGGGTTGCCATCAGGGCAGCAGCTCCTTACCTCATTCTCAATGGTCCGTAACTTCTATCGACTGATTGAGCCGCCTGTCACGGATTTATCGCGCGACGTGAGCTTCTTTGACGGCTTCCGAGTGATCGGCGTGTTTGTGGTGATCTTGGGACACACGCTAATGGTCTTCATGACGATCCCAATACAAAATCCAGAGTTCTATGAGCAGTTCCTCTTCAGGTTCGAGACATCGGTGTTCCAGAACGGCAGCCTTGTAATCCAGATATTTTTCGTGATGAGTGGCTTCTTGCTCTACGTTAATTTTACCGAACGCCAATTGGTTAACCCCAAGACTGGCACCCTCGATTGCATCGCCGTGTACTTCCGTGTGTTTTTCTACAGATACTTTAGACTCCTGCCCTCGCTTGTCGCCCTCATTCTGTTCAATGGAACTCTGCTGGTGCGCCTCCAGAACGGTCCTTTTTGGCGGCATCTGACGGAGGCTGAGCGGGTTTTTTGCCGAAGCAACTGGTGGAAGAACGTGTTCTTTGTGACCAACCACATGTTGGAGGACAGTGTATGTTTAAGGCAACCTTGTGATTGTCACTCAGGTTAATATTGGTTTCCAAATCGGTATGAGTAATCGGGACACACTGTAATTGTGGAATTTATAATATAACCTAATTTTCAATATAATGAGATTGAGATCACAGATCGGGCTAACAGTAAATTGCCCTTAGTCGACAAATAGAGTAACAATTTTTGTATAAAAAAATTTTTTATATTAATAAGAATTGTAATTACCACCACATTCATTCGTACCTAAATCTCAAGCTTTTATTTTTAGACATTTTTTGTTTTAATTGGACATTTTCTATATTTTTTTTTTTGTTTTGTAAATATATATTTTTTTCGTTATGCATATATTATAATACAACTTCAAATAAGTCTACTATTTTTATATAAAGTTTAAGAAACTTTTTAAAATGAGAAACTGTTTTAAATTGAAAAATAGGTTTCTCTCTAGAAAAATCTCTCTAGTAGAAAAATGTATATTGCAAAGCCCAGCTAAACGCAAGCCTAGTTAATTATATTTATAAGGCCTATAATGTAGGCAGTCAAAGGCTTTAAATTTCGAATCCCCATTATATTTTTAGTGTTCCCACCAGACCTGGTATTTGGGGGCGGACATGCAGCTATTTGAGCTCTTCCTGATCGTCATTGTTATAAGCAAGAAGTAAGAAAGTTTCTAGTCTTGGAAACCCCTTAACGATTTGGTTTTCAGGCATCCCAATCTAACAAGGCCGTTATACATAACTCTTTCGATCCTTGCTCTAGCAGTGCCTGCAATATTGACGTACGTTCTTGAGTTGGATGCTGTCTACCATCTTCGACCGGAGTGGGTTTTTATAATAATGAAAATGTTAATCAGCCAAATGATACATATATCACATTCTCAGAACCTATCGCTACTTGTACTTCCGGCATTCTGACACATTCTACCAGATGTATCCGCCATTCTACACGAATTTGGGAGGATACCTACTGGGATTTCTGTGCGGTCATCTTTACCTGAAGAAGCGGCCCCAAGTATTAGTGCTCCGGGGAAACCTTAAGTTTGAACTGGCCATGTGGCTGCTTGTGCTAGCCACGTTGGGAGTGCTTTTCTCTGGCTACATCTTCATCCGCCAGGACTTTGCGAAGCCATCTCTTTGGTTGCCTTTGTATGCGGGTGTCCACAAGAACTTGTGGCTGCTGATCTGCGCGGGATTTGTGTTCCTCATGTGCTGCAAAGTGGGAGGTGGGTTAAATTGGAGATTTTATTTATTGTTTATTTATTATCACTCACTTATCTCCGATAGGAATGGCCTACGATTTCTGCACCTTACCGGTTTTTCGGCCACTGGCAAGAATCTCATTTCAGTCCTTCCTGTGGCACGTTGTCATCCTAAGAATAGTGGTTGGGTACTTCAGGCAGCCAGTATACGTGTCTAGCTTCTACCTGGTGAGTATTTTTATTGATTAACTTTACATTTTACTTATTTAAAACTTATTTTCAGATGTGCAATGTTTTAAGTGTCTTTATCCTCACGCAAGTTGTGGCTGCTTTCGTGGCGATAATACTGGAACTTCCTCTTGGAGAGGTGCTACGATGCTTGATGAAGCCGGAAAAAGGTGTGTTTTGTCTGAGCACTAGGAATAACCAGTTAAATATGTCTAATTTCAGGACGTGAAGAACCCAATCCGGTAATTCAAACGAGTCGCGCGCAGTCAGCTGTTTAGCACAACCGTATTCCGCACCAGGGTTGCAGCACATTAACGCGTTAGGCGATTGAGGGAAGGATTTTCTGGTTATCAAAGCGCTTTCAAAGTGATTTCATTATAGCTTATATTAAAACTAAAATTCATAGTATTGTTGTTAAATATTCAAAAAGTATTTCATTAGTCGAGGAACAAAAACCTTTTCAAATAAAATTTTGATTTGGGATTCACAAAGTAAAAAAGGTTTTATACAAATACTTACTGAACAAATTTTTAAAAAATGTTCTTATCAAATTATTAAATATTAGCATCTTCATTTAAAAATTCAGATATTCATTCGTTTGGGAATACCCAAAATATTGGTAAGAATAAAAAATGTTTATATCCTGGTATATACGCAATCCAAACAGAAATAATATTTTGTATAGCATTTCTGTCTTGAAAATGTAGAACATGTCTGAGCCAATAAGACCAAAGTGTTGCGTGACACACAAATTCAATTGAGTTTAAATTAAGTTTTGGATATTTTATGCAACGCAAAATGAAAATACTGTGTGCCAAAGATTATGTGTCTGAGAACGGATTTTAAGTAACATAAAAACCCATAAAAAACTTAGCTAGTGTAATGAGACCCAAGCAACTCTGGAATGAACCATAGCTAGTTTTGGCTATTTTGCCGGCCGCCGTCGCCGCAGGTGGCAACACTGAGCGAATGAACGCAAACGCCTAGTGAACGGCGCTGATATCAACAACTCGCCTCGAACAACAGTGTCGAACTTGCTCTTAGATGCTCTGCGCGCTCTCGTCGGCATTTTTGTACTCGTCCCGTCTTTCTGCTGACTGAAAAGTCTTGAAGTAGTGCCTTAAATTCCCAGTCGTGTGCAAAATCTTTAGTCGAAACACCCCGCTGAATGCGCTGGCCCCAGTGAGTGATTAAAAAAGTGAGTGGTATTTTGGTTTCTTGCAGCCGCTTTTGCGCTGCCACATTAAATGTCATGAGCAATGAATCACGGCGGATATTTTTGCGGATTATAAATAATTCTGCTCGGTGTCAGCGGCAGCTGAGCATTTTCTAGGCAACATTGCAAGTGGCCGATGCAAATGCGGCGCTTAAGTAATAAACGCGCGTATTACTAAATCATTAAAAATCACGGTAAAAAATAAGTGCGACAGCCGCCGTGCGACTGTGTGTCTGTGCGCCGAGTCTGTGCTAGTGTGCGTGCTTTCTTGTGCGAGCGGAGCGGCGAACGCAGTGCATGTGAAGAGTACCGCTATAAAAGTTCAGCCATCTGCTCTCCCGCTCGCTCACCGTGTTATATGAGTCCAACACCCAAAAAAGGGAATAAAGAGAGCGAAGCAGCGTCTTTGGCCAGCGCCAGTGCCGAAAAACGTTGCAAAAACGAGCGAAAGAAATCAAACAATTCGCAGTCGAATTTGTTGTTTCGCACTTGATTGTATTAATTGTTTTTTTTTTATATTTCCTCGCATTTCGGTGTAATTTGTGTGGCTTTTCCGGCTCTCACTTGTTTACGCTGCGCGGGAGCAGTATAGAGAGCAAGGGAGAGCGGTGGACTGCTCGAGAAAGAGAAAGGGGAGAGGAGAGAGAGTGTGCCAATTGTTGCTGGCAGAAGCAACAAGTTACTGGTGGAGAGGGTTTCGCGGGGCAAGTGCGTGCTGAGGGCGCCAAAATATGCTGGAATTTGAAATGCGGAATATCTGTCAGCCATGAATGTGGCTTCCATTCGGCCCGAGCGCAGAATTACGGTTCATTTTGTGTGTGCGAGCGAGCAAGTGTGAAAAACAAGCGACCTCCAGCGGCGTCTTGGAAAGTGCGAGCGAGCGAGAGAGCACAGCAAACGCCCCCACGCACTGCTATTTCGGTTGCCCCCAAATGGGTTTAGCAGCGACACTTAGCCAACACCAATTAGTGACAAAAATATGAATAATGCACTGGAATGAAGCACACACACACTTGCACGCTCGCAGATCGCGCTTATGCGTCAGCTAATGTCGCGATCACTCGCAGCCAACAGCTGTTCGGCCACGATCGCAAAACAGGCGCGAGTATAAACGCCGATAAGGTGGCCAACAAACAACATAAAACTGGAAAGCAAGTTTATTGCGGCAAGCCACTGTTCGGAGTAACTGCATAAATGGAAAGCTATTAATATAATCGTCCGATTCAGACAGATCCTTCCAAAAGCAGGTATAGGGTGAAGTTTACTTCATAATAACAAAAAAACTAGAGAAAACAACACAAAAAGGGTAGTTTGAGTCAACAAATTTTACTGTAAAGAAACTTAAAAACTATAACTATTTTGCTTTCCTAGTTATTTTTTTTTTTGTCGGGCATTGTTTTTATTTACTGTACAATTTTTATTATCCGTTAATTAACTTAATTTAAAAAAAAATAAAATTTGGGTTCTTAACGATATCGTGTGTCTTTTTAAATATTTTAAATAAATTTAAAAAATTATAATTTTTTTTTTAGTGTTTCGTGACATACTGCTGGTTTTACTTGTATATTTTAAAATTAGGGTTTAAATTTCATTAAAATCGGACATAGTCCATATAGTTTAAATTGAACCAATCGAATTATTAAACAAATGAATGACAAAAAATGTTATCTTTTATATTTTTAAATTTATTTTAAAATTTTATTTAACATAGTAATGGTTTAATAATTTAAAAAAAAAAGTTGTTATTCTTATTTAGACCGGGAAACTATCGAAAAACGAGCAATAAATCACCATAGACTTAACGTTTTAAACATACATACATATATGTACATATGTACGTATACAATTCGAAATTATGATGCTTTCAAGAATATTTAATTTTTGTAATAGCTGAAAGGCCGAAGTTTGCTTTCTTACTTGTTTTACTATTTCGACTGGATAATTGAGGTTTTTATAATTTAAAAGCGATTTTCATAATGTTGCCAGAAATACTGATTAAGGCAGTTTAAAAAAAAGTCTTTACTCATCTGATAAAAATCGGAACACCCGTTATACCGAGGGTATTGGAGCAACCACAGCAGCCGCCCAGTCTGACTAAGCGCAAATGGAAATGCAAAATATAGCAACAAATGGGCGGCGGAGTAGGGAAACGCGAAGAGAAGGAAGAACATTCAGCAATTAAGACAGCAACACAAGCCAGCGCCACTTGCGATGGTGTTGAGGAAGGGGGAGGGGCAGGGGGTGTCGGGCGGGGCACTGCATATGCATGTGGTTAAATTTAGCAGCAGAGTTCCACTTTCACTCGGTCTGCGACGACACCCACTGTTGCAGCAAGCCAGCGAGTCTGCCGCGACACTTGCGCGCTTTTTGTCAAAAACTTTGGCTAATCGCCGTCAGGCACGCACACTCTTCGAGCAGTTTGATGAACCTTCGCATACACACACTCGCTGCATATCCAATGACGTTGCACCAGCATCAATGACATCATCATCATCATCATGAAGTCGTCTCGAACGGCGAAAGTTTCCAGTGCTGCCGACAGCCGATAAACAGTGGGCCCCTTATCACGGATGACTCACACACTGTGGCACTGTGATCATTGGCCGGCTGATTAGGTGTCGCTCCAGAGGTGCACTGGAAAAAAATTCTATATTGTTATCAAAGCAAGAGCAGAAATCATTGACGACCAACCAACTACCTGCAGTTGAATTTGATATGAAAAAACCCAATCCGTTCGAATATAAATATTCAAATATCAAAATCACAATTATTAAGCTGAAAAAAAAACATATTTAATAGTGTACAATATAAACAGCAGCTGAAGAAAATAGCAGAGTTTTAAACTTCACTAATGAGTACATATAGTACTCGTGATACATTTAAGAGAATAATTTCCGAAGCACAAAGTGCAATGTATTGTTTTTCTCGCAAACTGAGGTTCAATACCTGCATTAGTGAAAAAAAAACTTGAAACAACATATGCTTTGATTTAAAAATCTTTGTGAACTTTAAGACTCCTATATAAACAATTGACAAATGTGAGTCAAATCCCTAACAAATCCGGAAGTATTTGGCTTTTGGGGAAATTCTTTACTATTTTCGCAATGATCATTTGAAAGTTCGCTTTTCGAGTGTATGTGGGAATGGAGATGTCATCATAACGGGGCGCCAGCCACCACAATTGGAGCTGTGTCCCATTCCATCACCACTTTATTTTAACCCAAAACACTGTATTATTTTTTGCTCACGCCCCATTGCACTGCTACTGGAAACTACTCGTACTACGCTTAATTGACTGCACACCCAAGTCAGTCGAGCGGGAGGTGCTAAAGGGGACACATTGCGTTTTAGTCACGCCGCAAAGAAACAAGAACAACACAAGCCAGCATTTGTTAGCAATTAGAATTGGCCGGTGAACACAACGTGTCGACAAAGCGACAAGATTTGCAATCAAGCATTAAGTCAATTTGCGGCCCGTCCCGGATCGCTGGACCATTGCGATTGCATCAATTGAGAAGCAGTTGCATCTCGCGCGATAGCAACACAAATTGGTGAAGGGCCCACAACAACGCCATTGTCAATCGATTTACACGACTATAAGACACTGACTCTTGAAAGTTGGTTGACATCGGTTGAGGAATTTGCATTGATTACTTCCAGTCTGTATTTCTGACATTTATATCTAATAGATCCTAAAACGGACTAGGAGTATATTGCAATTGTTCTGGACTAAATGCATTTAAAGGAGTCTCCTAGGAATTGATCCTAACAATTAAATCAGACAACAAATTCCATTTAAGTGGTTTCATTGTTCATGAATGTATTTTCGGACCTCGGACCTAATATCAGTGGTACTCAATGTTTAGTTTAAGACCCAATGTTGTGCAGTCAATCACATTTGCAATTTTCATTTGTTCACTGAGTTTGCTGTAATTTTTAGTTGCTGATTAAACCAGCGAAGAGTTCAAAACGACTCGGTGCCGAAGAGGCCACATATTTGGCATTTGCGAACTGTAATTGCGAATGCAATTGGGATTCATCGGGGGAGTGGGAGTGCTTGCCCCGACGATGATAACTCAGGCATGGCAGATGCCAACGATGCCAACAAAATAAATAAACACATCAAATGCGATTTACAACGCTCCTACGAGCATCGTGCGCTTGTGTTTGTGTATGAAAATTTAATTTCGCCTAAGATGATTTAATTTTCTATTAAT